CTCTTCCCTTCTCCAAGCTAATAGACTGGCATCTGCTGGAGACTGCTCTGTCATTTGTGATCTTGTACTGGGCAGCAGGATAAGGGAAGCTGAGGTTGGAGAGCTGGAGCTGTTCTGGAGTGCTTGGGCAAAAAATTTTAAAAAAATACTTTGCCAGGCAATGTGTATTTGTTTGATCTGGGTTTATGTTTGACAAAAGTTTGGGAATTGAAAATCACTTTAAGTACAGTGTTACTTAAAAATGCAGGAGGAGAATTAGAAAGTTAGTTTACTTTTTTTTGTATACCATACTAGTCTTTATGCAGACATATTTTCCTGATTTGTGGAGTTGTGTATGTCTTTATTATACTCTGCAAAGAAAACTGCAAATGTTACATTTTAACTATATTTTGGTTATTTATGAAGTGCCACAGAGACTCGCTGTGTTTTCAGGAGGCTTTAATACAGCGACTACCAGAAGATCTGGGAAGGAAACATTTTATTGCAGTAACTCGTCTACATAGTGTCCCCCTTGGGGGGAACATGACGAATAATTTTAATAAAGGCTCTTTGAAGCTCTTTAGAAGATAAACACAAGCAGATCTTTCCATTAAAATTCCATACACTGTGAATTCAGCCTCGGTACTGCTGGATGTACAAATGTGAGAACTGAGATGACCGGCAGGAAGGAATGTGAAAATTGTAACACCAGATAAGACTTGGGACCAGGAAAGGACAGAGGACATTTGGTGTTGGGCATAGGTCAAGCTTACCAGGAGACGGGTCACAGTTGGAATGTCTGATAGTCAATATGAAAGACATATTGTTAGTCAGAAGAAAGATTTGTGTCTTTTTCAAGGCCAACAAAGATCAATTAAAAGTTTAAGTAAAACAGCTTCTTGGGTAGAGTTGAGAGGATCTATTTAAAACCAGACATGTCTAAAATCATGGTCACATAGTAGGGGGACAAAGTGCCGCTTCATATTGTCCCACCAGTAAGTGGGGGGACATAGTGCCGCTGCATATTGTCCCACCAGTCAGTGGGGGGGACATAGTGCCGCTGCATATTGTCCCACCAGTCAGTGGGGGGACATAGTGCCGCTTCATATTGTCCCACCAGTCAGTGGGGGGACGCAGTGCCGCTTCATATTGTCCCACCAGTCAGTGGGGGGACGTAGTGCCGCTGCATATTGTCCCACCAGTCAGTGGAATCCTAAACACTACTTTCCCTTTATCTAAAGTAGATGTAATTCTTTTCATTCTCTGCTGTATCCAATGGCTGCTTTTATGGATACAAAGCATACTTGAGTGTACTCCAGGGTCCCTGCTATCCACACATGCATATGCATCCTGATGAAGCAGTGGATGTCACGGTGAAACGTGTAGTTTTGCTCTTACCTCATCAAAGAACTCAGCAATGGAAGAATTCTATCTACTTTGTATAAAGGGATAGCGGTGTTTAGGATGTCAGAGAAAGAAGCAGCATAAGAAGCCAATCTCTTCATGTGTTGACAAGGAGCATGCTGACAGAGAGAGCAGAGTGAAAGAGAGATGAGCTCACCACTGTGCTGCTTTCCATTTCACTGTCCAGTCACAGACTGGGAAAGGTCCAAGATGACTTGGGCTTAAAGCAGGGGTGGGCAACTTTGACCCTTCAGCTGTACTTTAACTACAAATCCAAACATTCCGCTGCCTCTGAGAGTCATGCCAGTAACTGCCAATCTTGCAATGCCTCATGGGACTTGTAGTTCCACAACAGATGGAGGTCCAGAGTTCCCATCCCTGGCTTAGAGGAAGTAGGATTAATGATGCTAGTTATTAAACTATGGACATCTAGTGGGGTAGGCAACCTCAGCACTCCAGCTGTTGTAGAACTAGGTCCCGTGAGACATTGCAAGACTCTTGACAGTCACAGTCATGACTCTCAGGGGCATGGTGGGCTATGGAGTGCCCCTGCTTTATCAGATTGGAGAAGGTGAACATTGCAGTAAAATTTGGTTTCTTTTAATGGGTTATTATTTGTATCTTGTTATTTTGCATGGAGTTTTGCTTTATCTCTACCAACATGCCTCTGCCACTAGGAGTCATGCCTGTAACTGTCAGTCTTGCAATTCTTCAAGAGACTTGTAGTTCCACAACAGCTGGAGGGCCGGAGTTGCCCTCCCCTGATCTACAGCATTCTGGCAGGGGAGAAGCTTTAAAACACAGGCTGAGGCTACGTTCTAAATAAACCTAACTGTAAGACTTTGAACACCTTTTGTTCAGAGTTTTGAATGGCTCCCCAATACTCCCTGCCATGTGTTGTGGTGGAGTGCACCGTCCAAAAATGGTGCATGCACATGCCACATGATCACTGCTGCCAACAAGCCTTTAAACTGGAAGCTCAGTTGTTTAAAGAAGATGGGTAAGGATGGGGTTAACCACAGGCAGGACACAGATACCAGCAAAGCTGGCAAGAGGTTTAAGATAGTGCGAGAACAATGGCACAGTGTAAATGTTATTTATAATGAGAAGTACACTGGGAGAGACGTGGATGTTGTGTCTGCAGAGAGCTGTGCACGCTCTCCTGACCAGCAATGACATACTGGAAAACTGGCATTACACTCACTAATCCCCCAGTCCATGTCCAAGTGTGTGTATGTTATGGGTGTGTATAGGAGTCGAGCTCTGCTCTACCCACCAAACCCTTCCGTACAGTCGGCCCCATTCAGAAAACTATTTCAGTGCTGTTACGCACAATACTTAAAGAGTCAATCCACAAAAAAGGATCTTTTAATTTTTTGGCAGATGATGATGGAGACCGAGGTAAACAACTTGACAGTTTTTCTCTGGACTCTATTGGGGAGATCTCTTTGCTTGAGTCCCCGGGTCTGCACCCCTCCTGTGACCATTATGAGGAACTAACACTCTCTCTGATGGGTTCATTTGTTTTATATTATGGAGAATGTAACCTGGAACCAGCAAGGGGACCCAAAACTCCCAAGAGGACAGGAACAGAGTCAGTAATGATATAAATGATGTGTTTAAAAGACACATAGAAAGCCAGGGCTGACTTGTCTACCAGGCTCCACTTATATCTACGTATAATTTTTGGGTGGACAGACACTTCAAAAAACCCTGAGCACATAAAAAAAAACTTACCCTTGCAGTGGGGCTGCATACTTGCCAACATTATGGTCCCATATCCCAGGTATATGCCTATCTCATATCCCATATCGGCCCACGGTATGCATCTCCAAGTGGGCGCATCAAATCACGCCTGCTTAACAGGCTGCTTCCCAGACCACACATCTAAATAGGCACGGACTGCTCATCACACCTACTTAGGTTGGTCCCGTCCAGACCCCACCTCCGGGGACCACTCACATCCCTGATTCCCACAATTATGCCTTTTTATGGTTACTGTGCTTGTGCAGCAACTAAAACAAGGTGGATGCCATGATCCTAGGACATGGCCCGGGACACATGATTGACAGGGCAGAGGGTGCAAATCTGAGACAGTTGGCTTGCCCAGAATATGATAACCAGAAACATTTTGTCTGCAGGTTTACCCCATCCATTGCGTCACAGTCACTGACAACACAACACAGAAAGTGGAAGTACTGATGGCACCATGGGAGTTGTTTTCCTTTATTCAGACCTGCCCTGTTACAACATGCTGGAGAAGAGGAGTGCTGGAGTGGTCAGACAAAGTTCAAATCTTTTCATTATTCCATATGTCCTTTAAAGTCATGGGGACCTCATATAGAGCCGGGGTACTCAACCTAGGCACTCCAGATGTGGTGAACTACAAATTCCATCATGCCTATGTCTCTGGTAGTCGTGCTTATGGCTGTCAGAGTCTTGCAATGCCTCATGGGACTTGTAGTTCCACAACAGAATCAAACCTTGTGTTCATGTAAATTTCCTGAGATATTAAACACACTGCCACTGTCATAACTCCCTGTTTTTAATCATACATGTCCTCGCCTAACTGTACCAGGCGAGCAGATATTTTAAAGCAACACTCTAGAGCAGGGGTAGGTCATCCTGGGATTCCAGCTGTTGGGGGTCTTTGGAAATAGTTTTTTGGAAGGGAAATAGATCTCCCCTCTGTTCCTGTTCTAGAGACAACTGTACATTTTGGGATTTCCCATCATTTTCCATCACAGTGACAATAACCAATAGGACAAACAGAGTGGTGAAGCTGCCCAATAGGGACTAGACATGTAAGCTGCGTAAAAATTCGGTTTGGATATTTTGCTATTTCGGGATTCGGATCCGAAATTCAATTTGGTTCAGGTTTCGGATCAGGAGGCAATCCGAATTTTCGTTAGTTTCGGAAGAGTTTACGAACATTCGGTGCGAATACCACAGAAAACCATATACAGATATTAATACTAAAGCTGAATCTCCCAGACCCGAATGGCATTCGGGATCCGAATTTCCGAATTGCATTGGGGAGCTCCCAAATGCTATTCGGGTCTGGGAGCCATGTACATATATTACTAAATCTGAGGCTCCCAGACCCGAATGGCATTAGGGAGTTCCCGAATGCAATTCAGAAATTCGGATGCCGAATGCCTTTCTGGTCTGGGAGCCTCAGCTTTAGTATTGTATAAACTGTATATGGCTCCCATGTTGCCATAATGATAATTCCTGTTCAGACCCATTCGGATGCATTAAACCGAAAAACACATCTGATTGGCCAGAAAAGTAACATGTCCAATACAGTTTAGTTTTTGAACAAAATACAGACGGGATCCGAAATTCGGAAATGGAAATTACGGATTCAGACTCATTAGGATGCATTGTGATTCGGATATGTCAGAATTTTGGAAAATCCATCCAAATTTTGATGCAGAACGTACCGAATTGCACATCCCTAGTAGGGACACAGCAATAGAATCTTTCTAACCCTTCCCCACTCTACCCACAACTTGAAACATGAGTTTTGGCTATATAGTACATACACCTTAATAATGAATGCTGTTATGGAGTATATGTTCCTTTTTATTTACTTGATTATTCTATTATTTCAGCTCTGTACCTGGAGAACAGTGACCTGGACTGCAGCACCAACAATCGCAATCACCATACGCAAGATATTGGTTGTCAGATACTAGTTGTCCGCAGGGGCCAGGCCTTTGAAATCAAGCTGCAGTTTTCTCCCCGGGGATATGAGGAAGGAGTGGACCAGCTGAGTCTCATCGTTCAGACAGGTACTACACTCTTTATTTTATGCTTTTCAAATACAATAGCCGGCAGGGGAGATTCCGCCATCCACACTGCTTAATGGGGGAATTGCGTGATTCCTCTCATTCCACCACACAGTGTATGACTCGCTTTGGTCCAAAAATGAGATGCTGACTTGAGAGGAAATAAACTTAATAATCCCTGAATAACTGCTACATATAAAAGGAACTAATAGCAGGTGCAGGGGGTCACAATCCCATGGGGCACTTCATAAATGTTGTGGCCCCTACATTACGTGTTATTTAACGGGTGTCAGGCAGAACAGATAGTGAAGGAAAATCTGGCATAGTGGAGTGAGGAAGGTTTGGAACCTCTGTCAGGATTCTATTTTTCTCTGTAAGGGAGATTTCCCTTCACTTCCTGTTTAGGTGACGAGTGTCACAATAGAAGTAAGGAATATCTCCCCAATGGGGTTAAAGAAACCATTAACATAGAGGAAGGTTTCGAACCTCTGCCGGGACTCTATTTCTGTCTCTGTGAGGGAGAGTTCACTTCCTGTCCAGGTGGCGGGTGTCGCACAGATCAGAAGTGAGGGAAAATCTACCCAAAAGGGGGCATAGTAAAGTGAGGAAGGTTTAGAATCTATGTCAGGAGTTTATTGCTGTCTCTGTGAAGGAGATTTCCCTTCACTTCCTTTCTAGGTGACAAGTGTCACACTAAGGGAAAATCACTGCAATGGGAACACAAAAACCAATAATCTAGTATAGCAGGGGTAGGCAACCTTGGAACTCCAGCTGTTTTGGAACTACAAATCCCATGAGGCATTGCAAGGCTCTGATTTCCACAGGCCTGACTCCCAGAGACAGATGTATGATGGAATTTGTAGTTTCACCACAGCTGGAGTGCCAAGGCTGCCCACCCCTGTAGTACAGTGAGGAACAGGGGTGTCCCTAGCCTTTTTCGCCGCCTGAGGCGGCAGGGAATGGGTTGCTGGTGGTTGTGCACGCTATAAGGTGGGGGTAGGCTTGGAGACAGGGGTTTACCCTCTGCATCATCTGGAAACCAGTGGCGTCATTGGTTGCCAGGAGCTGAGCGGGACTCTGGCCAGAGCAACCCAGGTTGCTAAGAGCTGGATGGGGAGATGTGTATGGCCCTTACACATCTCCCCTGGGCCGGCTCTTAGCAACCTGTGATACTCTGGCCGTAAAGGGGGCAACAGGCACATTGTGCAGCAGAGCAGCCATGCTTGGAAATGTTTTGGCTGGTTATAACCCCCTCCATCCCAGTGATTCCATTGATTAGAAATCCGTTTGGATGGCTGAATGGATAATCCTCCAAGTGCCGGAATTAGTTTGTATGACAGGTGGGAGTAATAAAGGAATCTCTGGCTTTGTTCTCAGAGGTGGAATGCCAGTTATTTGTGGATAATCCCAATGTGGTTACTAGTTGATCTAGCTGTATACATGTGTCTTAGTGTTTGTGTACACAGAACAAAGAGAGGGAATGGTTCCTGAACTCAGCTTTTCATATTCTTAGCACAGATCACAACACGGTTGTGAGGAAGAGGAAGCAGAGACACGGTGTCGTGGGCTTTAAGAGGCTCATTCAGGCGGGTGCGCACAGCAATATGGCATGCACTCCCGTAAAAGGACTCGATTCCAGAAGGGACAGGTGCTGCATGTAAGACAGCGTGTGTCCAAGTGCGGTCACCCGGATCCACAGGGATGTGCAGGTTCGGGTGTATGTGTGAACGTGTCTTATTGCATGCAGCCGTGACCTCCCATAGGGGAGAACAGGCTGTTGCACGCAATTACACACAGCACTTGTCCTTTAAGGGGTTAGATTCTTTTTACCGTACGGACTTGCACGCCCTAAAGAAGAACTCCGGGAAAATAAATAACTTACCGGTACCCTCTAAGTGGGGCTACCCCCACAATGCAAGGGTTAGGTGCCCATTTTGTCTAGAGGACTTAAATAAAGCTAATTTACTTACCTGACCCTTGGCTCCCTCCGAGGTGCTGGCCAGATCCCTAGAGCCTATTCTCCTCTGGGCTCCGGCAGACTTCTGACATATCATGTCTTATGCAGGTCCATTGACTTGCATTAGACTTGAAGGCACCTGAGGGACATTCAATAGCTGGAGCAGAGAGAGGTGACCACTGCGGGAGCTGGTATCAGGTGAGTAATACAGCTTTATTTAAGTTCCCTATACAAAATGAGCACTTAACCCTTGCAGCCCCACTGCAAGGATAAGTTTTTGATTTGCCTGGAGTTCTTCTTTAACCATAATGATCGTTCACCTTTTCCGACCTGCAGAAGTTCCACTACTATTACGAAATACGACTATTATCTCTCATAACTATTTACAGAGTATTTGCTTATTTTGATGATGGGTAGAATAATATATTTTGAATAGGCATACTGGGTATTATATAAATATTGTGCAAGTTAAAGGTTTTGGATGATATATGCATATAAAAACGCTAGTCACATGATCTCGCTGGGTATATTAATGGAACAGAGCTCTTCTTCCCCCCAAGCCATACAATCCTCCCACTAGGGCGGATGATATAGGTGAAATCTTGGAATGTGGAGATATGCCAGGAACAGAATGATGAATCAGGAGACCCTGTCTGTGAGAGTGATTAATCAGCCTGCAAAAAAGAAATAGCGATGGTGCTAATGGAGTTACTGTAATATTATATTAAAGTAGATGTGAACTCTAGAAGCTGTGCCCCTCTAAAAAACACCCCAGAAAAAGCCAGGGGGCAAAGGACTGGCCACCAGTATTGCCCATGGTCTCCCTACAGCTGATCTTTCCCCATTACTGACTTGCCATGCCTGTGTCTCTGTGGAGGCAGCCATCTTGGTAGAGGCAGGGCTTTACTTCCTCATGCCAATGCCTCCAGTAGGGGCTGGTCACCAGTATTGCCCATGGTCTGCCTGCAGCTGATCTTTCCTTATTACTGACTTGCCATGCCTGTGTCTCTGTGGAGGCAGCCATCTTGGTAGAGGCAGGGCTTTACTTCCTCATGCCAATGCCTCCAGTAGGGGCTGGTCACCAGTATTGCCCATGGTCTGCCTGCAGCTGATCTTTCCTTATTACTGACTTGCCATGCCTGTGTCTCTGTGGAGGCAGCCATCTTGGTAGAGGCAGGGCTTTACTTCCTCATGCCAATGCCTCCAGTAGGGGCTGGTCACCAGTATTGCCCATGGTCTGCCTGCAGCTGATCTTTCCTTATTACTGACTTGCCATGCCTGTGTCTCTGTGGAGGCAGCCATCTTGGTAGAGGCAGGGCTTTACTTACCAGCAGGGACTGGTCACAAGTATTGCCTGTCGTCTTCGATCTCACCATGTTTTATGTTACACCCTAAATATGGGTCTAACATGAAGCATGGTCAGAAACGTGACCTTAGCCTTTAAATAAGAGAAAATCATTGTTGGGCTTTATATTCACTTTAAAGAAGAACTCCAGAAAATGTGAAAATTAACCCTTGGAGGGGGCTACCCCCACACGGCAACGGTTAAGTGCTCGATTTGTCTAGGGGGTGCAAATAAAGTTGTGTTGCTGATTTGATCGTTGGTCCCGCAGTAGTCACCACTCTCGCTCTGGCGGTGGAATGTCTCTTGGCATCCTCACGTCTAATAGACCTACATTAGATGTGATGACGCCACGGTTCCTTAGACCACTGGAACCCATGGGAGAAGAGGCTGTGGGACCGGTCTAGCAGTCTGGCAGATTTGAGGATCAGGTGAGTATATCTGCTTTATTTCAGACCCTAGACCTAAACGAGCAGTTAACCCTTGCAGTGTCGGGGTAACCCCACTGCAGGGGTTAATTTTTACCTTTCCTGGGGTTCCTCTTTAATGGTGCTCATCTACCATGAAATTTGCTGGTCCTAACCTTGGCTTCAAGTAGGTAGATCTTCAACAGATCTGGCCGCATATAATAAAAATAAGTCAAGCTGAATCCTGATGTCACTCTGCTCAGCTAGCCCCGAGGGCTTGGAAATAAACGATAATTTGAACATGCTGATTACACATATCATTGATGTTCATTTATTTATTTGTGTAACAGCAAGAAAATGAGTGTTGTATCATTCCATTTCTTAATTGCCTTACCCATCCTACAAAACTAATTACTGCAATTTCTTAAACACCCCGCAGCCCACCACCTGTGACTCACTATATTTCATGCTTTTAATATCTAATAATATAATATGCAGAATAGTTTCTTTTTTTAATGCTCTTTTCTGCCTGTGGACGCCACGGGTGAGACGGATACTGTGTGCTGGGCAGCTGTCTTGGGAAATACCATTCAAAGGAATGTAGATAAAAGTTTATATTAGTTGTGTTTAGCGATTTCAACAGCTCCTCGTTCTATAAATATACCGAGATCATTGGACCTAAATCCTTTTATAAACATCTTGTCATTGGAGTTACAGTATGTGCTGCATTGGGATTATACATAAACTTGAGAAGGTGGATGATGGATCTGACCGCAAAGATTTAAACATAAACATGCATGGCCATTTCTGCCAGATGTTCCTGTTTATAGATCGTCCAAAAAAACAAGGCATTGGTCCTAACTTTGCACTTATTTAGACATCCCCCTGGCTGATCTCAGAGTGTCCACAAACACAACAGACTCTAATAAACTGGATGGGGCTGTGGTCATCTTGTGTCTTTTGGTTGACCTCTAAGGCTAGGTTCAGACCTGAGCGACACCCGGAACGCACGTCCCGGGACTGCGCGATCGTGTTCTAGTTGATTGAAATGGGGTTACATCCATACGTCAATCGCAAAAAAAAGGTACAAGTACCTTTTTTTTTTTGTGACACACGGTGCACAGATTTTTTGGTCGCAATCGTGTTCAAGTGCATGGGTGGAACTTTGTCTCGAAACCGCGCAATCCGCCCGGAGCGACTGGGGTGCCATTACAAAACGCGTGGTGGGCGACTCAGTGACCGCCCCTCAATCTGCGCAGTTTTGTGCACGATTGCCATGCGTTTAGGAGTCGCCCAGTTGTGAACCTAGCCTAAATCTGGCTGATCAAAGACATGGCTTCTCACATTGGTGTCTCTTGCCTTTTTGCTGCCTGAGGTGGCCAGGGGGTGCTGGGTTAGTGGTGGTGGAGGAGTGAGGCCACCCTCTGCAGCTCTGCATCTTCCTGCCTTGCTCGGCATCCCGTCTAGCTCCTGGCAACCACTCACCCGATCCTTCGGTCCTGTGGCAGTGATCACTCACCTCTCCCCCTCCGCCTGGCTGTGAAATGCCGCTTGGCATCCTCACGTCTAATAGACCTGTATGGCATCACGGGCCTTTAGACCAGTGGAGCCCGGGGGGAGAAGTGATTGCAGGGACCGGTCTAGCAGCCAGGGTGAGTATATCTTCTTTATTTTCACTCCTAGACCTAAACAAGTACCGCCCCACTGCAAGGGTTTGTTTCTCTAAAACCTGGGGTTCTTCTTTAAGGCTTAGGATTTCCATTAGGTTTTTATTGCTCATTGAACAGGTTTCCCATCACTTCCTGTACTTATGGTACCAGGACATGAAATTAGGGGAATCAGAATCTTGGAGACAAGAAGACACACACAGCAAAAGACCTGACAGTGATATACATATATCTAAAAAAAACGTTTACGCTGGAATTGAGCTTTGAAACTGAACTCCGGGTTCCTTTAAAATGTAACCTTGCGATGCTCTTCCCCACCCACATTGCAAGGGTTAAATGCTTGTTTTATGTAGGTTATGTAGGGGTAAGAACCTTGGCACTCCAGCTGTTGAATTACAAGTCCCATGAGGCATTGCAAGACTCTTGACAGCCACAGGCATGACTTTAGGAGGCAGAAGCATTATGAGATTTGTGGTTTTGCCACAGCTGGAGTGCCAAGGTTGCCTACCCCTTGTCTAGGGGGGATAGGAATAATTACAATACTTTGTTACATTATTTCTTGCTTCTATTGTTCACAGATCTATATACACATGGGTTACAAGAACTTTGGGCCTGATTTACTAAAGAATGAATTAAGGTGCACTGAGCTTGACTGTCAAACATTCAATAATGTGCAGGGGAATCTTAATAGAAACAGCTTCTTCTTTACCTGAATGGCCTTCAAAGTGACCAACGGTACATTGACCTTCGTTTCACAGGTCTATCAGGCCATCTAGGTGACTTATCCTGTAATCTTTGCAGTTATCCTGCAGCAGTCCAGCCAACTCACTTCCTGGTGATCTTGGAACACACCTGCTGTTGATTCTGGAAACCCCTCCTTGCTGTCTCTCATATAGAAAAAAACGAATTTTAAAAATGCTAGCACTAAGAGTTTTTCCTCAGCTACCAATCAAATTAAATTGTGCCTTCAAAGTTTGCATGTGACTGGTAATGTATGGATGCAGATAGGATTCATCTGTCCATCCAACTCTTTGATCTGGTGATCCTGAAACACACCTGATGTTGATGCGGGGACTTCCTCCTTGCTGTCTCTCATATACAGATAGCATTATTTAAAAATTCCAGTGCTATAAGGCTTTTCACAGCTACCAATCAAAAATAAATCGTGCATTGAAAGTTTGCATGTGGCTGGTGATGTATGGAAGCAGATAGAATGCACCCATCCTTTCATTACTTTTTGATCCAGTAATTCTGGAAAACGCCTGCTGATGGTGGAACACCCTCCTTGCGATCTCTCTTATACAGAAAGCCTTATTTAAAAAATACCCTAAGCACTAAGTTTTTTTTTTTTTCCTGCCACCAATCAAATTAAGTCATGGTTTGAAAGTTTGCATGTGGCTGGCGATGCATGGAAGCAGCTAGGATGCACCTGTACTTTCATGACTCTTTGATCCGGTGATCCTGAAACCCACCTCCTGTTGATGCTGGAACACCCTCCTTGCTGATAGGATGAAAACAGATCTCATGAAATACACAGGCTTAAAGGAGAACTATGGGGTTAAGGCTTTTCCCCATAGTTCTCCTTAGGGTAACGGGAGGACACAAACTAGCGTCCTCCCGTCACCCTAGGCTCAGTATACCGCGAGCTACTGAGACGCCGCAGCTGAAGCGGATCCCGACAATTATGCCTGGATCCACCCAGCTGCGTGACGGACAGCTGGCTTTGCCTATCTAGAGGCAGATCCAGCTGTACCCGCCCCCTGCCCTGTCCGTTACCGTGACTGTCTCATTGTCACAGGTCAGCTAGAACAATGAGGTGAGTGAAAAGCACTCACCTCATAGTTCTCCTTTAAAGAGGTGCATTCCTACTATCCTCCTACTGGCTCAGTGGAGCTGTGTGTGTTTTTTTTCTTTATGGGGACACAGAGTCCAGACAAAAGGTAAATTTAATCAACTTCATCACTTAAGCCAGGGGTGGGCACCACCGGTCCCTCCAGCTGTTGTGGAACTGCAAGTCTCACGAGGCATTGCAAGACTGACAGTTACAGGCATGACTCCCAGAGGCAGAGGAATGTGGGGATTTGTAGATAAAGCACAGCTGGAGGGCCAGAGTTTCCCACCCCAGACTTAAGCATAGGTAAAATGTTAACTGGATAGCATTTGTATCTCACTGAAAGCATTCACTTGCTGCCTGCAGATGCTTTTTGAGTATTCTGAAATATACTTTATTCCTTTATTAATTAAGATTTTCTGTATCCCAGGTCCACAACCATCCGAGGAATCTGGCACAGAAGCTCACTTTAAGGTCACAGAAGCTCTGGAGAATGGAGTATGGAGTGCTGCAGTGGTCAGCAGTGAGGGTGACTCCATTGTTCTTTCCATCTGCTCCCCACCCAACGCCCGCATTGGACATTACAGCCTCACCTTGGAGACCTCTAACGGATCAGAGGAGAATAGCTGCAATGTTGGGGAATTCTATCTGATTTTTAACCCCTGGTGCCCAGGTAAGTGAGTGAAGATCAGATTGACAAGCAGGAAACTTTTGGGTGATTTACATTACACACCAAAGGCACATTTTACAGTAACATGCCAAGTTTTCATCATTTACAAAAAAAAACATCTAAATGGCAAATTCATTTTTGGGGTTGGTGCATTTAGTTCCTCTTTGGTTGTATTGGCAACATGCATGCCAGTGTTTGCAAAATTGTTGGTGGATTGGTAAAGGGTTTTGTGGCCTTCTATGTGCACTCATACCAGGGATCCTTTTGCTGGTGGCAACTTGCCAACGATAATGTTGAGAGAGCATTGAAAACTCTCAGCTACCTCTATGGCACTGCTTCCATGCTGGCCAACCATTGCTGTTCCCTTATTGGGGAACGAGAATCTGCAGGAAGCAACTGTGGCAGTTGAGGCGAACGTTTGGCAGTTTAGTCTCATAGGGACCAAACAGCAGAGAGTGAACAGCCAAATGCTGCCGTGCACCATTCAGCTCGTTCATTCTGTTCGCTACCTCAGAGGTAGCAAACAGAATGAAATATGACATGTAAACAAAAGAAAAAAAAAAAAGACGTGGGGTCCCCCTCCCAAATCATACCAGACTCTTTAGATCTGGTAGGAATGTTAGGGGGAACCCTTAAAAAATGGTCAAAATAAAAAACCTGGGGTCCCCCCTAAAATTCCCAACCAGACCCTTAATCCGGGGCACTGACCTGGTACAAGCGAGTGCCCCCCCACCCTCTGCACCATACCAGGCTACACACCCTCACCATTGAGAGGGTGCTTTTCCAGGGGGGACCCCTGGAAAAGTACCTTATCCCCATGCCAATGGGGACAAGTCCCTCTTCCCCACAATCCTAGCCCGGTGGTTGTGGGGGTCAGCGGGCAGGGGGACTTATTTGCATCTGGATACCCCCTTTCATAAAGGGGGCTCCCCCTTGTGCATAAGTAAGGGGTACTTGTATTTGACTCCTACTTATTCCCTAAGGGGTTAAAGATAAGGTAAATAAAGACACCAGACTTTTGGAAAAAAAAACTCCTTTAATTGAACAAAAAACACACACAATTTTTGACAATTCTTATTTAGAAACCTCCTCCCAACATAACAATCCACAGGTCATTCACAATAACCAATGGGCGCCGACTCGTCAAAATAAAAGAAAGCCAGCGGGACCCAACCGCTCCTGACGGACTCCCGACGGATCCTGACGCTAAATAAGCTATTTGACACTTGCCGGCAGAATGTAAACAGATGAGCCCGTGCTGATGTCAATGCAGGCTCCGCATATCTGTTTTCATTTTGCCGACACCTGTCAAATTGCTCTTGAAAGATCCCGGCCGAATAAAAACAGATGGGTGGAGCAACGCCGTGATGTCACGACTGGCTCCACCCACTGTTTACATGTCATTTGAGTACAGTGGGCTGTCATGGCATGAAAGCAAATAGACTGCGAGGACCAGGTGACTATATCTTCTGTATTCCAGCTCCTAGAGAAAATACATGAGTAGTTAACCCTTTTAGTGTGCGAGGGTAGCCCCACTGTAAGTGTTAACTTTTTAAATAACTGGAGTTCTTCTTTAAGTTTCCATTGTGGTACATTTTTTATTAATCAAAAGAATCTTCACCAGGTCAACAGGTAACTGGAAATAACTCATGGAGGGGAAAATCAGCTTGGTGACTTCCTGCCTACGTTTCATGAAACTCTAAAACTAACAATAGTAATATTTCCAACCGTGCGGCTGGTGTTATTTTTCAGTGTTTTTATATAAAAAGATATTTTATTTCTTTGTAAGGTAGATAAAAATGTGTTTCACTAGCAGCTGCCGTCTGTATTACTTACAGTAAATGTGCACTGTAGCGAGATTATTCTCACATCTGTTCTTCACTCCCACAAGTTCCCATTCGATTTATTTTAAGCCTGTTGATTTGTTTGACATTTGTGTTGAGGTCAGTGTAACGTGAATGATGCCAGGGTCCTACATTTATTGTTGAGGTCAGTGTAACCTGAATGATGCCAGGGTCCTACATTTATTGTAACTCTTATCTCCTTTTTCTTAGAGGACTCTGTATACCTAAAGGACGAAGATGAACGGGTGGAATATGTTCATTGTCAGTACGGGGTCATCTTTCAAGGCTCAAAAGACTCAATTGACCCTGTTCCTTGGAACTTTGGACAGGTACATCATCATTCCTGGCATGCTTTTTTTTTTTCATGCTGCAAAAAAAAGGGGGATATCAGGAAAAAGGCGAGTCCTTGCTTTGATTGTGAGTTCTTAAAGGGGTTCTAAAGCCTCCGTTTTTTTTGCCTATATCTACTGTAGATATAGGCATAGGCATAGATATAGGCAAAAAGTTTTTTCAAAAACCCCCCCGCCTTAAACTTGCCTCGTTATCGCTGCGCGCTCCCGCGTCGAGAATCCGGAAGTGCTCGTGTAGTCGCAAAGGATCTTGGGGCGGGCGCATGCGCAGTTCGTATTCTCGGCCGGGAGGCGAGCAGAGACGCAAGGTAAGTCTATGGACGCACGCACCCGCATGCAGACAACGCTGGATCGGAAGTGCCTGCAAGCAGAGAGGAGTCAGCGCTGGATCGGAGAGCCGCCGCACCACTGGAGGGACAGATGAAAACATCAGAAAAAAGAAGAAGATCGGATTAAGAGACATCATTTAAGGTAAGTGCTAACATTAACATGGGGGGGAATTTTTTTTTTAACTTTAATGTCACTTTAAAGTAGGTTTGTTTTTTTACTAGTTTGTAATCTGCAATTTTTTGTGCCTTTAAGATTCATTGAGGTGCCATTCACAATGGATGGAACTGCAACTAACTAATGTGATATAATGCATTGTGGTAAAGTGCACGTTACTGAAACGTACCAAAATGGACAGGTGTGAATGGTCGAAGTTTGTCGAGACGGATGGTGCTCCCAAGTGTCCCTATTAGAAGAATTCCTCTCTATTCCTTTTATGGTGACAACTATGACTGCTGCATTTTCGGTCATTTTTTGACCATGTTTAACCCTAGCTAGGTTGCTAGGACACAGGCAGTCCTGGGTTCAGTTTGCTTGAAAGTTTGCTGAATCCGCATTTCTGGCTGGGTTTAATGAACATCCAAGCGAACCAAACCCAGCCACATTTGGCTCATCACTAGCGGGGGCATAGACAGCAATAAAAGCTTAGGGGGTCCTAATCCTGCCCTACACTATCCAAAAGTGAAAGAAAAGTATTTTCTATAGAAACACTTTAAGATCCTCATCCTTTGTCTTAGTTGTAGTCTGTAGGACTCGTGTTCTTCTAGTGACAGTTGTGCCCCTTCTGAGGTTCCTTATCTCCCCAACACAGACTGCTAAATCCCTCCTCTGACCTTCCTCCTGTTTTCAGCGCTTTCTCAGGACACCTCGCGCTGTGCTGTATACATCAGGGACATTTAGACATTGGTGTCTTGCCATGTTAAGAGAAAACTATTCTTAATTCCATAAAAGGTTTTGGATAATCACATTGGGCTTACTGAATGAGATAGCAATTCCTCACTGAGATGCCTAGCTGTTATTTCATTGTCTGTTTTCCTGACTTTTTCCAGAGCGCAGAGAAGCACATTAAAGTGTAGCAACTTGTTAACTCTTTAGAATCAATAATTCTCTGACCTTACGACTGTAAAAAAGGAATCTATTTAAGGATACAGCATATTCACTGTGTAATCACTGGTCCTTAAAGTGTATGTAAAGGCAAGTTTTTTTTATTTAGTTTTACACATAGTAGGTCAGGTCATCTGTCAAGCTTTTATTGCTGTCACTGCTAAGGAGATCCACCTTTCCATTTGTCCTGGTGACCTTTGTTACTGAGACAGAAGAGAGAAAAATCTTGAGTTGTCACCAGAGCAGGAGGTGATGGGAAAATCCTACAATGGGGACCCCTGTTCCTGTACAAACTCTCTAAGATGGAAATTCCCTTCATTTTCAAAAGATTTCTTCTCATTTCCTGTTCCCTGGACACGGGCAGTAAAAAAATACCCTGCCTTAAGCTGTATTCAGCTGGAGCTAAATTGATGCAAAGCCGTGAAAACAGTTTTTCAGCTATTACACCATCCAAGTGTTTTTTGTTTTGTTTTTTTGAGAATGTGGCCCCACCCCCAGGTTTTGTCACTTTTCCCTGGAGGTTGAGGCATTATCTAAAGATTCTAGGGAGTTACACAATCCTGTGGCTATGTGAACTAGAGAAACAATGAGAGGAGTTGCTCAACTGTAGTTGCAGGAGAGCCACTGTGTGGGTCGTTGGAGGAGAGCTACATTGTAACTACTGCATAAGAGAAGGAAAGGGGTTAGAAACCGTGAGCCATGGCTGGCTTTGCACACACCACTGCTTCTTTTATGACTTGCAGTTGGAAGGTGTCCACCCTGGGCATTGCCGCCAGCCTGGCTGTAACCATAGAATCTGGTTCCAACTCTGGCATTTGCCTGAAACCACCAGTCTGGCCCTCTCTACTGTAGGTGGCTTCTAAACAATCAAGTTGATCTGCTGTAAATGTACAGGATTGGCAGTGAATATTCATCCATGGGGCCATTTTCTACATTGTTAGGAGTACTTGATGGAGATCTTGCCCCCAACCCTGCCACCCCAAGCACTCAGAGTTGACTGGGCTACAGGGACCACAACTGCTGCTCCGACTGGTCAGACTGACCCAACCGTGGTTGTCAGTACTACAACTGAAAATACTTTGCCCGCTGCTCCTGTTATGGAACCTGGCTACATTATGGCTTCCCACAGCCATAGCCTGCAAAGATGACTGGTTGAACCAAGACAAGGAACCTGCCCTGTCTCTGAAGGGTCGGAACTGGGATGACCCCCTGGAAATCAATCCCTTAGAACTGTGGGTTGATATGCGGACCAACCAGGAGGCCGGGGGGGATGGAGAGGATGCTGTCCTGTGATGCTAAGCTTGTTGAGTATTTGGTTCCTCCTCTTTGGTCAGAAATGGACTATGGGGGCATTCCACTTAACGCTGAGTCAAAGGAAAAGACCAGAGAGCCCCACTGCAATCAGCTAGTCCTCCAAAAAAAAAAAAAGGATAGCATTAGATTTGCTAGTACAAAGGTCACCAGACTCTCCAGTACTACCAGGAAATGGACACCCTACAGAGCTTCCAAAACTGCATCTTCCCCTGCAGAGGATACTTGATTGAAGGGTTGCTCAGAAATATGCAGTGTCCTTAGGTTCCCAAGCCAGTAATGGAGAAGATAGAAGCTGAAAGGGAGGAATAGTACGCTGAAGCACTTTTTGGGAGTTTTTAGGGGTGCCACAGTCTTACTGAAAGGTGGGACTTTCTGCAGTTTATGGAGCTACAATTAACAGGTGTCTTCCCGCCTGCAGTTATGGCTGGCATATCTACACTGACAAAGTAGTAATGAGAGAGCCCGGGCTCAGAGTTGTTATATATTAGGTTAACTGTGAACGTGGAGGGAAGGCTTCCAACATTGCCTTAAATTGGTGAGATGACTGAAAGTCTACAGTCATCAGAGACAAGGTCAGCTAAGGAAGATGGTTAGAAAAAAAAAAGAGAGACTGGTTCATGTGCAACAGTGCAAGTGTGACAATGTGTTGTCTGTACAGTATTAAGTAAGAGCCCTCAGTCATACTGAAGGGAGACTTGGAGATATGTATAAAGCACCCCTGGTAATAGAGTGGGTAGGGGCAAGAGGGTCGGGTTATGAAAAATGTACGTCTTTCCATGGCCAGCCAACAGGAGTTTTATTGCCAATGGGGAAGTGTATAAATATTTGGGTTGACCATGTAATGGGGAAAACTGGTCTCAAGATGAAGGGGAGAAACCCTCCTGATAGGAGTGTGTTCCAGGAAAGCTGTGTGAAGCTGGAGCGTTGAAGGAAGACTGGTAACTTATCTGGTAGAAAGGATATAGCCATCTGCTCACCAGTGAAGGTTCTGCAAGATATAGAAAGATGCTCCCAGCGTCCACATTCTGCTGGGAGTGGAGCCTGTTGTGCTGTGGGTATCTGCTGTAGCCTTATCCCACTTTTTAATGGAACTGAATAAACTGTGACCCACAAAAGTGACTGGCACCCAATGATTTGCACCCCCACTACATGCCAAGAAGGCAGCCTTGAAGTGAAATGCTAGCCCACCAAACTACCTGGGGGGCCTCCACCACTGCCTAGGGGTAAGGGGGTGCTACAGAGGGCAAACCCTTCCCTAAACTATCCAAAACTAAAAGTTTTGGATTTACATACACTTTAAGGTAGCGATAATTGGGCAGTTATTGACATCAGGATACAGTCCGTGTACCCATCACACTCAGAGCTGCTGCTCCAAAAATGGAAGGTGGGTGCAGCAGGTATAAAAAATATAAGTAAAGGATGGACACCGGCACTCCATATAAGTAAAGGATGGACACTCCAAAGCAAGTTCAGTATGTGTTTATTAACGTACTAGTTGCAAGTAGAACACTCTAAACCAGTGCTCCCCAACCTTTTTATCGCCGCGGACCGGTCAACGTTTGATAATTTTACTGCGGCCCGCTGAGGGGGGGACGTTGATTGTTTATATTTTAGATTGGAATCACCTGTCCCGATAAATCCATATTTCAAGTAGGACTCATGGTATTGTCTGTTAAAAGTTACATGTTTCTTTGATGTCGAAGGCACTTCTTCTGTCTCTTCACTGGGCCTTTTCTTTTTCCAAGGAAACTTTCTAACGACGTCTGTTTCGTACTCATTGTTGCTTATTTGTGGGTTAAATTTGAGCAAACACAATATACACGTACACCAAGTACTGTTAAACATGAGAAAGTACCGGTGAACAGAGAGAAGAGCGATACACACCTTCTCTTTACCAAAGCTATAACGCCACTGCCGCTTGCAGCCGCTCAGCTCCAGACGGCATCTAAAACAGCCCCGATATCACGATATTTTGCGCATGCGCGGTATTGGTGCGGCTTTAGGTGACGTCTCTCAGCTCCCGGTTAACCTCTCATCCTGGAAAGTCGTACAAACCCGAGAGAAATACACCAAAGTAAATAAAATGGAAATAATTTAATGTTCCCTGGGCGGCCCGGTACCATTTGATCCACGGACCGGTACCGGTCCGCGGGCCCGGGGGTTGGGGACCACTGCTCTAAACAACGTTTCAGGGTCTCACAGGATCCCCTTCATCAGGCAAACAAGTGATAAAT